GTTACGGAAGCTGGCAGGCGTCCAGAAATGCTGGAGGACAGGCTGACGCCACGCCAAACACAGCCCCTGAAGTGCCTAGCGTCCGCAGACGTTGACTCGAATTTATTGGTACTTAATTATTTTCTTGAAATTTTCAGGAGGATTCCATTGATGAGGAGCAACTCGAGATAGTGGCGCACTGTGTTCAACTGGTAATGGGTAGTCCAGTAGAAGGCAATCGTCGATCGATACTTCCAGATCCTGTGACAGAAGACTCCCTTGCAGACTCATTCGCCCATCCTTTATTTATAATCTTCCGAAATCTCTGGTAAGTTATTGGTTTTGTTAGAGTTCCCTTCAGAATTTTTTTGATTTTGAATCACTTTTGAACTTCCAGTTATACCCCGGACACGGACACAACTACGCGATCTCTGAATGGTAAATATGATCGCAACTATGCGGGATTATGATAACACGGTTACCTATCTTATGCTGTTCTTTATAAAGGTAACGTTCTGGAGGATATATTTTGTTTGTATTTTTATATGTTTTCTTGTTGGTATGGGAAAAACAAGGCTCAGGGCACATCGTTGTTGGGGAATCCCCAACAGGGAGGTCGTATTTGGCCGCCAGGAGAGGGGGGTCGTATTTGGGCTGGGAAAAATTTATTTTGATAGTTGATTTTTCTCGCTTCACGGACGTTGTAAAGGGGGAATGGGTCGTCATTACTCATTGTTGGGAGGGCGGGTCGTATTTGCTTCCTGGCCTTCTGGGGAGGTGTTGTCTTTTCGTGATTTTCTGTACTATATATCTCCCCTCCCGATGAGGAGGGCAGTGAGTCAGATGGCCAGAGGGGGTCGTACCAACCCCACCTCCCCTCCCCCCATAAAAAAAGGGCGGGGCGTACAGACTCGACCAAATGTAGCTGAGAGGGTTTACAGACAACTTCTCACTACACCTCGTGGCCGAGCATATGAAAGGAGAATAATAAGGGAGAAAGGAGGGATAAGGAAGAAAAGTAAAAGTGTCGTCCTACTGTATTTGAAATTGGCATTTTTTTGATACTTATGATTACTCAAACAGTTTTCTTCAGGCAAATGATGGCTTAAGCAGTGACTGTATTTCATGTTACCGAGATGT